ACAAACTTGCCTGTTCATTGGCAAATTATCAATACAAATATACCTCGAAGTTCAAACTTTTTGTTTTTCTGTTTTATTTGCAAAAATGTCCAATGACTAAATTGAATGAACATATGCATACAAATACGATTAACTGTTAACAAATAGGAATAAGAATTTACTCAAAATTCTAGGAACCAGGCTGACATTCGAGTTGTCCATAAATCCCCGCAGAGTCACTTTCATAAGATTATCCCCACAGAGATACTTCTATGAGATTAGCCTCATATAGTAGTCTTCACAAATAAGGGTACATCGCCCGCAATCTCCTCTACAGATCACTCCAGCAAATAAAGGAGTATAATCTCTTCCCCATAATTTCTCTACGGAGTTCCAATCAGTACACTTCATGGAAATTCTCTTCCCCAACTGAGTTTGGTCCTCCAAAACTGGAAAAAAAACCTACAGAGTTTCTCTCCTTAGCAAAATCAATTTCCTCGAGAGAGTTAGTTTCCTCAGCATAATATTTCTCCATCAACAAGGGTTTATTTCCCCAATAGGGTTTATTTCCCCAACAACCTACAAATTCCCCAGCTCGAGTCTATTCCTCAGACTACTACAAATCACTGACAAAATTCTTCTCCCCATTAAAGTTGCAAGTATCCCCAGAAAGTTGCTGCAAAAAATAGAATCCGACCAGATACCAGTTAACTTTATCCTCCCCAGACAAGTCGGAAAATTATCCATCTCTTTTATCCCCAGTCAAGGTATATAAGAGTTATCTTCCCCAAACGAGTGAGAAGTTTAACCATATCTTTTATCCCCAGTCAGGGTATATAAAAAATAAATTCCCCAATAGAGCAACGAACGACCAAGGTTCCCAAACTCTACTCCCCAAACAGAAATCAATACATCTCTTGTTGAGTTCCCTCAAAGAAGTAAGCCAGAATCCCCAGCGGAAGCATTCTAGACAAGATTGAAGATACACATACTCTTCATCCCCACCAATAGTAATGGATTTATTTTCCCAGACAAAGATGCGGCACGGGTTTACAATTACACTTCAACAACATTTCACATTCATACATCACAACATATGCATACGAAACGTATATAGCACAGTGTCATTTATTTTGAGAACATCATTACGCAATGCATTTTGTACATTATGACATTGCATACAACTACGTCTTTACCTTTTCAGGAAAGATCAATCAACAGACGAATATCATCAACAATTTTCAAACAGGTCCAAGATTAATTCCCAAAACAAGACGGGGAAACTATCTACGTGACCAGGTCAGAGATTAATTCTTGAAACAAGAAAGGGCAACTATCTCGACGGCCAATAAAAAGCAGGTTCCAGATTAATTCCCGAAACAAGACAGGACAACTATATGAATGACCAGCCATAGATTAATTCCTGAAATAAGACAGGATAACTATCTGTAAAACAAAACACATTGTAGATCAATTCCCGAAATAGGAAGGGGCGACTATCTACATGAACAAATTGAAGATTAACTCCTGAAATAGGATGAGGAAACTATTTTTCTTTTTCTTTGGTAAGATGAAGATCAATTCCCGAAACAAGAAGGGGCGACTATCTTTATCACCAATGGTATGAACTTCCGAAACATGACCGGTTTACCAACAAATCAATTGTAAATCAATTCTCAAAACAGGACGGGGCGACTATCTACATGACAAACATTTCTTTCAAGCTTCTGTTGGCTCAGACTAAATTGACCAAAGAATTATTCAGATACTTCTTCCCATTAAACACAATAAGACTTCTTCCGGCTCTGATTAAATCAACCAAAGACTTATTCAGATACATCTCCCAGTTGAAGACAGGCATAATTATCTTATGGATCAGATTAAATCGAGCATAAATTTATTCTGATTCTTCTCCTAGTAGACTTTTCCAGGCTCAATTTAAATCAAACATAGATTTATTATGATACCTCTTTAGATACAGTTGAGCATAGACTCATTTTGACGTGCTCTATCAATAAGTACTTTGAATGGCATCTATAAGCCCGTCTCCGACAATATTCTGTCACTATCCTAGATGGCATCTATAAGCCCATCTCCGACGATTCTCTGTCATCTCTCCAAATGTCATCTTTAAGCATATTCCCGATATAATCAACCAACAACATTACTTCTTGCACAAGCGCGTGCAAATTTCTGGGCACTTAAGTGTTCAATCATCTTCTACCTTCAAGTCACGAATGGCGGACATGCCAATATAACTCTTCAGGTTTAAGAAGATTGAACTGGGGCAGCTGTTGTACCCAAAAAATTTCCCTCCCAGTTTTCATTCAAGATATTCTCCTAGGATTCTCAAATGCTCAAGGTGGCTCATGAATTGATTAGACAAATTCTCCTCCTAAGTAATAGGTCCGCAACTAGGGTTTTATATTTCTCAAGGAAGATTGAGTTTCCAAAGTCTCAAGCAGTTTTCATGGTTCTTCATATATCCTCAAGGATTCTCATGTCAAGTTTCAAGCCTTGCATCACAAGTTTGCTCAGTCAATGGTTCAGATGACTGAAAATTAACTCTATTGGGAAAAAAGTCAACATTTGCAAGATCAAGTTCAAACGATCATAACTTCTTCATTATTCAATATTTTTGAGTAGTTCTCTTTGCGTGTGACTCTCCTTGATGTCATCTCCAATTTCTCTTTACAAGTCAAGAGCTGATTATGTGTGTAAGATCACCAAAAGTTTGAATACTTTAGAGGTCACCTTCTGGACTTTGACCTAATCTCAAGTAATTGTTGCATGACTTCCAAGAATCGTAATTTCCTCAATTTTCAAGATCTTGAGACGATCATTTTAGAACATTTTCATAAGGAATTCCATCTACAAGTTTTCTTCAAGGATCAGAATCAAATTATGCTTTAAGGTCTATGGAACTTATCAAAACATTATAGGTCATTTTTTATTTAGAATGTTCTTAACTGCTAACTTCAAGTTGTGCCATAATTGTTTTCTTGAGACATTGATTCTTATGTTAGGATTGTTCATGGTATAAGATGTCGAGTTCTAGAGTTCTTTGAACATTTGTTGCTTTTTCAAGTTACTTATGTCTGAGCATTTGGTGATTATTGGATCAAAGTTGGGTTTTGATTAAAATTCTTAAGGCATTGGTTTGTTCGCCAAGATTCAATTAATTGAAGTTCTAAGATTCACCTTTCATTCATTTTATACAAATTCCTTTTGATCCAACGTCATTATGCCAAAATAGGAGATACATCTATATTCATACTTCCCACAATTCACAATGCTGATTTTAGATGTTATCTTAAATAAATAAAAAACAACAACATTTCTAAAGGTTGATGTCTAAAGATAGCTTTACTATCTTTTCTCATGCTACAACAAGTCTCTAACTTTTCTCATGCTGCAGCAAGTCCCTAACTTGCCATGCTACACCATGTTTCAAATGTTATAAAATCTAAGCCATGTTTCACCAAAAGTTCTCATTTTTCATTCAAATATTCCATGTCATAACAAAGTTACATTATCAAGTTTACAATGAAAAATTACAAGTTATAAAGAAAATTACACAAACTTTTTTATCATAAATCTATGTTCCTTCATGAGTTTTAAGCTTTTATCCACCATACCAAGACTTTTCCGAACATACTATGCACCAGCCTATAAACAGTCCACAAACCTTGCCAAAAACCTTGATGTATAGCCCTATTACTGCTGCCAAAACAGTCCACAAACCTTGCTAAAAACTTGCCCGAAATGTACCAAATAAAAATATGCATTATAGTCCAATAAAAATGCACAAAGCAGTCTAAAGGTTGTTGTCCACTTTCTACAAAACTTCCCTACACTAGCTGCTAATCTCCCCATAACCAGTCCAAAACAGTCTGCTTCAAAACCTGTACAAAGCAGTCCATAATCTGCATCAAACCTGTCCAGCAATTACACAAAAATATATGAAACAGAAATTGCATTAGAAAGTGTTAAAACAGTATGCCAAAACAATTCAAATGTCATCCCATTTCCCCCAAAAAAACACCCATTAATCTACCTATATAACACATTCTCAGATTACAGAAGAAAGGAGGAGTTTGTTCAACAAAAACCAAGCATAAATCACAGAAAAAAATAGGAAGAAATTTGGAGAAAATTGTAACAAAGTTGCTGCAAAATTATTCATGACCTTCCTTAACTTGTTACTGTAGTTGTAAACCCATACCTCTGCCATTAATTTTATTCCACTAACATCTCAATAAAATATTCAAACTTCACCGATAAATCAATACAACAACAACTCAATGGATTTGGAATCACAACACTAAACCGCAAGACAACAGAACCAGCTCAAAAAATTTCATAAGCAAGAAGGAGGAGAAAGAGTCAGATTACCTGAGAAGTTAGATGACTCGTCGGAGGAACTCCGGTTCGATAATTTTGTTTCCCCTTTCATCCGTATTGTATTTGTAGATCATTGTTGTTGTGGTCTTGTATTTGTTGCTTCTCTGGCTTGTTTGTTGCTAAGATTTTGTGGTTGTTGTTTTGCTTATTTAGGAAACATTGATGAAACCATGAGAATTTGAGATAGAAAAATCATATAGAAATCCTCTCAATTCTCTCTTGCAATTTCATCTTTTCCCCTTCAAACTTTCACTCTCATTCACTATAAATATAAGCTTCAACAGTGTTGTAAAGAAAGAAAGAAACTGTAAGGAAACTATGTACAAATTGCCATAACCTTCACTCGATTTCATTCATTTACGTAGATTACCCTTCAATCTTCATACACTCAGAAAAACCCATAAACTCGCGATTCTCTCATAAACCGCAACATAAATCCATACATAAACATCATTATCCTCACCCATCTTCAACCACAAATCGGACAACAAAAAAGTACCATCGACACAACATCAATCAGTAAACCATGCTCAGAACATAACCTCCCAACACCTTCAATCTCTTAATCCCGCAACCAAGTCCAGCTCATACACACAGTATAACAAATCATAACTTCATTAAACATCCTTCATACTTCGTCCAAAAACACACACAACAAGAAGAATCAACAACCAAGATACCAACAAGAAAGAGACGAGGAGAAGATAAGAGTTTGAATAAACAAAAAGAGAATGAATATGAGCATACCCGGTTACGGCAGAACTTTCATCAGTTGATTGTTGATTGTCGTTGTTGTCTTTCTTCATGCTTCTCATGGATAGAGCGACGATTTCACACAGAGATGATCCCAAAAGAGAGAAACCATATGTTTCTCAGTCTTTCTGTGCAATGTTTTCAGGCGCCGCTCTCCCCAATTTGCATTCCGGGGTTTACACCCTCCATCCGGGTTTTAACAACTCGGCCCATCTTTCTTTTCTCTATTTACTATTTTTTTTTGTTATCCTTTCTAATTTGTTTATATAATTCGTTTTGGGCCATGGAAATCCCTAAGCCCATTTAAATTCTTTATAGCCAACCCAGTCCATTCTACTTCAACACCCCCATTTTATTTTATTTTCAGTAACAAAAAAAGTTGTTGGGCCTCTGCATTCCCTTATGAGCCCATTCCGGATTTCTACTCTCACCCGCAGTATTTTCTATTTGCATCTTTTTTTTTCATTTATTATTATTTTTCATGATTTTCTTAGTTTAGTTTAGATTCTAAATTCAAGTTTTTTCTTAATTAAATAGTTTCTTATTTTTCTGAATTTTAAATATTTGTTTAAGAATTTTGTGAATAATCAATTTTGTTAGTTAGTCATTTTATTCTATAATTAATATTGTTTAGTTGATTTCTTCTAATTGTTTTATTTCCTTCATAATAAACAAAAATTCCAAAAAATAATAGAATAGGTTTTTATTTTCTTTTCAATTTTTTTCATAAACAAAATACCAAAAATACTATTTAGAATTTTAACTCTTGAATCATCATTCATAACTTTTTACGATTTGTAATAGTTTAATTAGGCTTTAACTTCATTCCCATTTGTAAATTTGTATCTGCATTCCCGAAGCGTTTTAATAGCGTGGAACTTTATTTCCCGCACTTTACCGCATTTACTTATCATTGTATAGTAATTAGGCGTGTATGTCAAAATTTAAAATCAACCGCTAGATAACCCTAATAAAGACAAATTAAACTTGAATAAAACACTTTTCACACACGCACCTTTAGGATAACCTCACTTGTTGCCTCGGAAAAACAGTCATGTCCCTCAAATGTGGGAATTAGCAATGACCCTCGGTAAAAAAAGATTGTAGTCCCTCGATGAACCTTTGATATTGCCTTTGGTAAACGATATTAGTCCCTTGCAAAAATTGCTAAAACATCTCATAAATTGCCTTCTATGACTGTACGATGACCCATGCTTGTCCCTCACATCAAATGATATGGTTCCCTACCAACCAATGGTAAGATAACACTATCTAAAGGAGGAGGAAAAGAACAAAGACCTTTTTGAGTAGGTAGATTGCTTGTAATTTCTTGCTCACAAACTAAAACAATATTCACACCTCACACTTTCAAAAAAATCTTTCAAAAAACAAACACTTTGTATACATTCTCAACGATACGAGAATCATTACAAAAATTGCCTTACATTGGCACCTTCAAAACATATTTCAAACACTCATTTTCAACAAATATTTTCAAAATCAACACTTTGTATACATTCTCAACGATACGAGAATCATTGCAATGTTTTCCTCACGAAGGCGTTTTCAAAATATTTTCAAACTTACACAAACACAAAGCATTTCAATGTGAGCTAGCAATTAAGAGCTCGTAGATAACTACGGATGAAAAGGGTGCTAACACCTTCCCTTTTCATAACCTACCCCCCAAACTCAAGAAAATTATCAAAAGGTATTTCTTTTTCTTTTCACCCTTTCCTTTATTGGATAAAAGAAAAGTCGGTGGTGACTCTTGCTATACACAATATTTGTGATAAAACACAAAGCACCAAGTCAGTTCTCTCATCGTATCACACATTCCACTAGCAAGTTCGTCCATAGTAACAACCCAGATTAAGAGAAATTATTGTGCCCAAAAAATTTCCCTCCCATTTTCTTCAATACATTCTCTTGATGTCCCCATTTGCTCAAAACTACTCAAGAGTTGACTGGTCAAAACCATCTCCTAAGCAAAGGTCTTCAACTAGGGTTTGGTGCTTCTCAAAGAAGATTGGATGGAAAGGGTCTCAATTGAATTTCATGGGTCATCATTAGGTCCTCAATAATTCTTATGTCAAGTTTCAAGTCTTGCATCACATGTTTGCTCAGTCAATGACTCAGATGATTGAAAATCAACTTTGTTGAGTAAAAAGTCAATTATGGTCAGTATACAGTCAAACTTCAAGATTTTTTGTCAACATCAACATTTTGAGGTGATATTCATTATTTTATAAAGGGTTGATTATAATTCCTCAAGGAAAGTACTCAAATCATCAAAGGTCAAAAAAATGCCAAATTAGGGTTTTGATTGAAGATGATCGATCATTGACTTTTGACCTAGTGCATGACCTAATGGCTTAACGTATGATCTTAAGGACTCAGATACAACATCTTGACTTAATCACATGGCTCAAGGCATTTTCAAAGATGCAAGTGATTGATAGTGGAAGAATTGAATCAATTAATTAAAAGTTAACAGTCACACAAAAGTCAAACTTTGACTTTTTGGTCAACATTGAAATTCAAAAATCAAGAATCATCAAAACATTCAAAATTATCAAGTTGGATCATCTTGAATCAAGAAAGTTAACAATAGTCAAAATTGGAGATTTTTAAACACTTAGAAAAATTTAAGTGTTTTATGCTTAAAAAACCCTAACTTCACAAGCAAGTTTCCTCAAGATACAAGTTGATTTAAGGAAAACTTTCAATATGAAAGTTGTAAGGATTGATGAATTCTACAACTTTGTTAATGTGGGATGATCCTCAAAAAGTGTTTGGATTAAGAGATATAAGCCTATGAAGTTGTGATATTTCAAGCTTTCCAAATTGTCCAAGAACACAAATTTATCATGCTTGAGCTAGGAGATTCGAAGACATGAAGTTGGCATGTCAAACTTGAATTATAGGTCATTTTTATGATGAACTCATGACCAAATATCATAACCATGCTGCATAATCTCACACTGCAGGCCTCTAAACCTCCAAATCTATCCATAATCATAAGATTTCACACACTTTTGAGCCATTATCCAAGTGATTCAAACTTTGTCCAAGCTTACTTGCCATTAAAGGGAAAAATATCACACTTCCATTTTAGAAAAGCACGCTTTATGCAAAGTCCACTCTCCTTGAGCCTCTCAACTATTTCTTTTGTACACACACAACATCAAAGTAAGAAGCAACCATCTACAACCTACAAAGCACCCCTAAAATCAGGCCCTGCTCACATTGGAACCATAACTCTCATGTACCTTCACTTGCAATCCAACTAAACCAACTTTTGTTTGAGAACTTCATTTGAACTGATTCCTTCTATAACAATCCAGAAATCTTGCCTATAAATAGAAGGCCTTGCTTCTGAATTCAGAGAGGCATCAATGCTCAAAGTCACTACCTCATACAAAGCTTGATTTTTGCACAAAGTAACAACCTTACAAATTTGCAAAAGCTATCAAGTCCTTTACAAACCAACCATCCAAACACTCCATATGCATCCTATAGAAGCTATCCAAGCCATCATTCATCTTATTTAACTATGTTATCATCATTCACCATTTCCAATTTCTGTCTTTGCAACTTGACTTGGACAGAGCATTCCAGCCACTCTTGAAGCAAAGTAAGGATTGCAATACATTCACTAAGGTCCAAGGGACCTTTTGGCATCATTTGTTTGCACCTGGAAGCATCCTACGTGTTCTGAGTTTTCACTTCAAGAGTCTAAAATGTGATATCTTGATACAAGCATCAGTTGCATTTACTTTCTAAAGAGAAAATGTAGATATCATGCCTCTAAAGCTGACTATATAATTAGTTTTCATTAATTTTTCTTGTGGAGTAAGAATCGAAGCTCTGACCAGTTAGGTTTTCGTTTTGGTACCAACAGAAATTATCTCTAATATTTGAGTTCCATCTTGAGTGAATTACATGGTTAAATCCGTGATTGAATTTAGAACAACTTTCATGTTTACCTTTTTTAAAATGGTTGAGAAATGAGAATTTTACATATTCAAAAATGGTGTTGTTGTTGGTCTGTTCGCGCGCAGGGAAGAAGAAGAAGATAACAAATTTCAAAACTTGATTTATAATATATTTATTTAGGAGCGTTTCATAACTAGATGAAACAGCCACCACAGTGGTAAACTAAGCACGCGTTACTATAGGGGTCTGGGTTTGATCCCCAGCGGTACCCTTTTATATTTCACATATTTATTTCTTTCAGATTCAGTGTGAACAGGTCCAGCGCGCATACCATGCATCTTTAGCCCTCAACCACTTGATCTCAACCAATCCAGATTTGATGCTACTAGAGAGTCACGCCCATGGTGCATCCCAAAGAACTACCACTACTGGATTGAACAGGCGCTTGGGCTTATCTGTTTTGGGTCTTTTTATTTTTGCTTTTCTAACACCCCCCAATTTTCTTTTACAAATACAGGCCTATTTATATTTTCTTTTTTGTTTTAACTAACTTTTATTTCTTTTTCTAAATCATTTTTTGCTTATTTATTTAATCATAAAAAAATAATAAAATCACAAAAAATTTAGATTTAGGTTTTTAATTAATTAATTTAATTTTCATAAATAAAAATTATTTAATATAATCACTTTGTTTTATTTTGTTAATTAAATTTCAAAAAATAAATAGAATTAGTTTTTGGTTTTATTTTACACTATCAAATATTTTTCTAAACAAAGACAAACAAAATATTTTCTTGAACACTTAGAAATATTTTAGGGTTGCTTAAACATCTTTCCCCTTTTCACCACCTTCGCGCACTTTATTTTTGCATTAGTATTTTCCAATATTGTAACTGCTAACGGTCTGTAATAGATAATTAGGTTCACTTTACTTTTCATCCTCATTCATAAATTTGTACTCCCCACTTCCGATGCCTTGTAATAGCGTAGAACATTTAATTTCCGCAATTTACCATTTTCCTTATTACTATTAGTAATTAGGGTTTGTATGGAAAGATTAAAATCAAACATTAGATAACCTAATTTCAAGACAAATACTTGAAAACAAAACACTTCACACATA